GCTGAATCATTTCTTATTATTAATCAGAGACACACTGTGGCTCTCTTCCACAGCATGTCTTTGATCCTGTCTTCTTCCCCTCAGAGGCGGTCATATGATTGTTGGGTTTTCTCTGTATGTATTATTGTTGGGTCGACTGTTGATGTGATTTGGTGCTGTGTAAATAAAACTGAATTGAATTGAAAAAATAGTCAGAATCACACAGCGATGTCCACATGGTGGTACATACATGTGTTGTGTTTTGTTTTTGCTGCTGTTACACACAAATTTCCCCTTGTTTATTCTATTCTATAAAATATATTCATTGTGTCAGTTTGTACTAGCAAAGTACCCACTAGGCCTTTTCTATCGTGGGTCCTAAATGATGGAATAATTTGTGCGTGCACGTTAGAGAGCCCTCTCCACTTTTAAATCGCGTCTTAAAACCCATTTTTATTTGTTGGCTTTTAACCTCAGTGAGACTTAGTTTCTCTTGTAATGAAATTAGTTATTTAATTAATTATTTTACTTTTTCTTTTCTTTTGCTTTTATTTATATCTTCCATCCATCTATTCGCTTCCGCTTATCCTTTTCAGGGTCTGGAGCCTATCCCAGCTGTCATAGGGCGAGGGGCGGGGTACATCCTGGACAGGTCGCCAGTCTGTCGCAGGGCCAACATTATTTATATCTTATGTACTTTTATTATATAGTTCCTATGTACAGCACTTTGTGTCAGCTGTGGTTGTTTTAAAGTGCTTTATAAATGAAGGTGATGATGATGAAGAACAGAGAACTTTGTTTCAGATGCCTTTTGCCAAACCTTTTACTGACAGGTGCAGATGGCCACCTCTATGAAGACTCCTGAGCGTCCCAGCTTTGTTCCATTTATGGACGTCTGTGAATGCTTCTCTACATGCTTTTTGTTTTTTGAAGAAATTTGCAAGAATTTCAGGCAAATTTCTTCACTTTGTAATTATGGCAAAAATGTTACACACATTATGTTTTGTGTAGAAAATTTGAGGTGAAAAATGAATTACATTTATTTTGGGTTGTAAAATGACGAAATGTGGAACAGGTGAAGCGCTGTGAATACTTCCCAGATGCAGGCGTGTAGGAACTATGTACCGAAGGTGTTATGAGACATAGATGAGCATGTAGTGCATAACCAGAGTTCTCTGTTGCAGGTGGGTGATCAGATATTGGAAGTCAACGGTCAGAGCTTTGTGACCATCTCCCACGATGAGGCGGTTCATATCCTAAAAACAGGGTACAACTTGCTGATGAACGTGAGGGATGTTGCCCGTCTACCTCACGCATGCACAGTGGTGGATGAGCCCAAATGTATCAGCGGTCGGGGAATAATCGAGTCCAGTGCGCCTGCTAACCCCAGTTCTGTCCCCAACACCACTATCAGCAGTGGCATCCATGGTACTGGCAGTTCCAGTAACTGTTGTACAAGGTAAGTATATGAGAGCGATTGAGAATGATTATTAGAAATGTGAATACTTGTCCCTGTGTGGAATTAGAGTGTTTTTAATTGATAACCAGTTTGTTCTTATTTCATCATCTGAATAGTTCCTTTTAATTGTACTGAGCGCTGGTTTGTGTTAGCGTGTTTGTTTATCCACCTCGAGGAAGCAGCAGCCAAAACACTTCTTCTGTTGATACATTTATTTACAAGGCCTTGACTGATTATAAAGCATCATGTACGTGGATCCCGTTTGTTCAGAAAACCACATGCTGGAAAACAAGCGAGTACCCTGCTCAGCAGAATACAAAGTTTTATATGAGAATGTGCGTCTGTCTGATTTGTTCAAACTGATGAGGAGAAAGCGTACTTTACACTTAATTCTCCTTTCACTGGTCCCAACCCAGCCTAATGTTGTTGTAGTGACCATGAAGGCAACCCTGGCTGAGATACTGCATATTATTTTGTCTCACGTGGTCCTCATTACCCACCGTATCATAGGACTTAATGCCCCTCCACCTTGAAGCTTCTACACTATCGCCATTTCTAATTAAACTGACAACTAACTTCTTAAGCTGTTATTCACTGTAATTCCTAATATTATTAACATCACAACCTGCTCCCAGCAGGTAACTACTGTAAAATCTATACAATGTTAAAAATCATGAATGAGCCTTGAGA